AAGACCTTGAACCACACAAGATCCCCCTCCTTCGATGAAAAGAGCATTTTCACTTGGTAAAACCCACTAAAGGAATATAAGATTTTCATGAGATTTTTGATTACAAATGATCAGATTTTATTAACAATAATGAATTAGTTATGACGAATTATAGTAATAATTGCAAAGAAATGATAACATTCAATGAAATATGGATTTTTTTTTTTTTTTTTGCACAAATCAGCACTTTAGTGTATAAATGGATAAAGGGTATAGTATCTTTTTATCAAAATAGATATACTTTAACGGCATGAATAGATGGAAGCCATCAAAAAAGGACCTTTTGGCAAAAATTAATAGGTTTACGGGGTCAACGTCAAGAATGAAACGTTAGGGCCATACAATAAATATTACAGCATAATCTATAAACGAATCCATCATGAATATGTACATACTCGTGTGAATTGACAAGCCTTCCCTAAACCAAAAAATAGGGGGAAACAGCCATCAATTATGCTAGCTATGAAGCATAATACAGCCAGAAATGTTCAAATAGAGAATCAGGAATGTCAAATTAATTGTTCCATCCATTTCCACAAAACTTCATCAAATAAATTATACAAGAAGCACCTATTATTTGGACATCAGAAGTCACAATATACGATGTGAAATGTTAGATAGTCCTACCTTTTTCTGTTTCAGGAAAAGAAAATGCGGACAAGGAATTTTGTAGAGAATTTCATCTATCCTACATGAGTAAAACCATTCACTAACAGAAGCAAAACTTCAAATCAAGAGCAATTTTGCCAAGCTAACATTAAAGAACTTGAGCATCATTTTCTGACTAGTCGTCATCCTCTGAATCTGTAAAGGATTGGTAAGCGTTATAAGATAGATAAAAGTTTTTCGAAGGGAAAGAACTGAAAAAACAGTTTAGATCATTATATTTTAGGCTCATGATGCAATATTTCTATAAGAGTGTGTGAAAGTCATCACCATGTGAAATACTATTCTGGTGTAGCAAGTATCCAAATCAGATGTCCAAGAGCATATCGTGTGCTTCTGTCTTTTGATTGGCTTATGTTACATGCTTCACAAAGGGGATTTCCTCAGAAGAAGAAATGGAGGGATTTTTCAGCTTCTCTTTTGCCACAGGAGGGAAACTTGCCTCTTAACTCATTTATCATTTCTGTACTTTCTTTGTTATTAAGTGTAGGCAGACAAGAGCAAACTCGCACAACAAACTACGTATCATGGGCCAATTAGCCAACGAGGAAACAATTAAACATAAATTTAAAATAACACAATAAGATGCCTACCTGATCGTATATCTTCTCCAACTTTTCCTCTATTCTTCAGTTGTCTTCTGCCCATTGAGCATATTAGAATCCACCAATAGATATGAAAAACAAGCAGCATTAATAGCATTGTATTGAAGACATAATATATAGCCACGTGATATGGCTCTGACAGGTTCAAGACTTCGCATTAGTAGCTGAGGAAAGGTAACCAAAAAAAAATGCAATTAGAGGAAAGGTGCCAAATGTTGTAATTTACAATAAAAATCAAGTTCGAAACCAACCTTGAGGATCGTATAAACCAAAATGGAAAGAATACCAGCCTTAGAGTAAACCATGAGATGGCAAACAAACCAAAGCACACACTAGCTCCAAGCTCATTTTCATAATATTTAAAAACTTTCGCAGCTTCAAGAAATACATCACTTGCATCATGCAGTGCAAGGGTGACTGCACCTATCCGAAAGAACCTATATGAAATGAATATCCAAATACTCTATTAGTTCTAATATATATATCTATCAGTTAAAATTTGAAAAGGAGAATAAAATATTTTTATCTTATGGAGCCTATTCAAATATGATTTTAGTGCTGATTTGTTCACTCAAGGGAATCAATATTTCGGTGGTAAGAGATCGTTAAACATATCACTGCTCCATTTTGATACGCACAAAACTAATCTCTTTTGGTATGCATAGAAAGAGTCAAAATAAAGTTATTTATCTATAGATTCACTAGTGTAGAAAATGTATACCAAATAATTCTGATTTCCTACTCAATTTATCAAAATAATTTTAAGAGTAATCCATGCCAAGATGATAAGACGGAAATATCTGGAACCTGACCGGCAGATTAATATAGAGGAGTGATGTAAAGACCTATCCCATTCCCTTCTTTACTAATCTGTAAAATCTTGTAAGAAGTTCAATATTTCAGAACAATAAGAAGCAGATGAAGCAAAAAGATACCTTGCCATGTATGAGTAAGCAATCAGAATAACAGTGACAACATGATGTGACATCATAACAGAGAAATCTTTCCGCCTTGTTCCCCAGGTAAGGAGGGCAGCAATGCTATAGATGTAGAAGCCACATTGGCACATATAAGTGAGTATCAAAGGAGGCCTGAAACAGATAATGCAACAGATAAGTTTGGATATACAGCATACCATCAATGTAATGGCATCGTTGGAAAGATCATTATGGGAAACCAATTATTTACTTTTTGATGGACATCGTCTCTACTTAACTCAGCAAAGCCTGGACATATACTTATTTCAGGTAGGCTAATGGATCCATTTTCCACTCCACTATCAGTGGGTTAAATCACAAAGGCTCAATTCTTTTTAGGTTAGCCATCCAAACAAATTACACTAGGATAACACGGTGTATATTTCCAAATTTTTCATTGAAAGTTTGATATAAAATGTCAAAATATTCTTTTGATGTCACTATGATCTCGTGCTCATCTAATTCGTTCATCTAACATGAATCAATAATCAATAAGGAGTATAAAAGCGCTATTAGACAGTGTCAAAGATATCACTGGCGAGGTCACCAATTTCATCAACTATTGGGACAACGTTAAAGAAATGTATCATCACTTACTTCAAATCTTGATTTGGCCAACCTCTAAAGTGCTCCTTTATATCCCTAAACCATGGCTCATTGTAATTAACTGATAAAACAAAAAAACTCAACAGCAGCATAGTATGTGAGCTTCCACATAGACTCTGGAAATTTCACTATTTTTGCCCATGTAGCCTCGTTAATCTTCAGCAGACCATTTCTGCTGCTCAACAACCAGATGGCTAACCTCTGGAATAGATGCAATAATAGTGAGAAAGACACATTTTCCCAAAGAATAATAACTATTTTTCAGTGGTTGCTTTCCTATCAGCGAAAACTAGACCTCATTATTCGTTTCGTTCATACTATTTCTAATAAAATCTAATATAGTGTCTGGAAAACATTTAATCTTGTTTTAGTGTGTTAAAGTAAAAGAATTAGAAGGCTTAACAATTGTGTTAGCCTGTCCCACTATTTATAATAAGAGTTAGGAAAACCTTAGGAAACCCTA